CTTTCTTTTGACAAAAGGATGAAGTCTCTATCTGTCAGGGAAGCCGAGATATTGCAAAATAAAAAAGGTCTTCAACTTTTGAACAGCACTTTTTATATAAAAATTAACCCGGTCCTGAAAGGGTTAAACAATTAAGTATCGGCATTTTCTTCCCACTTACTCCGATTTTGATTCAGTAGTGACCTTTTTTTCTTCTAGATTGGTAATTACAGAATTAAAGAAAATATGAACCGAATGAGAAAAAGAGATGTGCTTGTTTAATCGTCAACATTATTAGTGGAATATTAACATCATATCTGATTGTTAATAAATAATACATTTATTGCTCGTTTTCTTTATACAGCCTTTTACTGGAATAACACGCTGGCGGCAACAATAGATAATACACTGTTTGTAAAACAGCAGACTTACTATACGCAGTACGTCAACAAAAATAATAAAACGGTTGCCGCTCTTAAAATATGTATAAGTTAAAGATTACTTGATTTCTTTAATATTCTAGCGAACAAATGGAATACACTGTTCCGTTGACTGATTGCGTTGGCTATGTTATTGAACATAGTCATGTTCAAATTGTATTAGATGTCAAATATGATACAAACAATGAAACAGCTGTGAAAAATTCGTTTCTCATTCTTCACGTTACACCTCGAAGTAAGTCATCATATCACACCTCTAAAACACTAATGTGGATGTCAATCTTAAGATATGCTTCTCGTAGTTTTACATGATAAATTGACATTTTTTATCTATATAAGCAAGTCACTTAAAAAGAAACAACATATCCAACCTTATGCATAATCTTTCTCTTCAATGAAGTGAAATTAGATAAAAGAATTAAGATGTTATAGATTTCTACCGCTAAAAGGAACAAAAATATTTGAGGACACGCTATTGTCGTTATACATGGTTATTTCAATTAGCTTATTAATTTCTTTAAATAGATATGACGGTACAACAACCGGCATCTGTACTGGATTCTATATTCAGCAAGTTAAATTCTAGTACAAGTAACGGAACTATGGAGGAAAATGTATCGTCAGCAATCGTTACACTCCAAACTCCGTTAACATCTGTAATAAAGCCAATCAAACAATCTTCGCCTGTCTATTGTACTTACCCAGCATCAAAATCACAGTATCATTGTTTACCTCAATTTCAATCAACATCATCGCCAACATTATCTAATCAAAATACAATTACATTTCGAAATCAACGGAATCCGGAACACAAACAGTTTATGTTAAGTTCTCCAGCAGCTGTTACTACCACCAGGTATAAAAAAGGTAACTGATTTAAATTGCTCTCTATTTTTTTTCTCTTTATCTTATAGTCAATCTTATCCAACTAGACAATCTTCACCTGTTTTAACTAGAATGATAAATTTAAAACGATCAAATTCCTCAAATATGTCGTTTCCAAAAACAATTATTTGTTCGTGTTTAAAGCCACACATTGCTCACGATCTTGCGTGTCCAGCATCAAATTGTCACTTATCAGACAAGCAACTATTATTGCCAAATAATCAAAAAATTGTTCATACACCGACCATTCCTTTATCTTTAACTATGCCACACCAACATCAATCCTTCATAATGAATAATTCGCCATCATTACCAATCGGAGGCGTTGCTTTGAACAACAATCAACAACAACAAGCAGCAGACTTTAATCCTCAAATCAAATTACCTCGTATAGACTTACAACAGTTTGATAATAATGTGTTAACGCTAAATGGAATAGTAATACATACCTCTCAAATCAATCAACAACATCAAGGGTAACAATAACTTGAAGTGAGCTTCCCACTGAGTACTCTTGTGCAAAACTTCAGAATTTCGTGTATTGTATAATCAGACGTCATTGTTGCAAGTATTCCTTGCGCTTGAGAATAATTTCTACGTTCGAGGCATCATATTTCATCACATAAAAAACACAACTTTATTGACTGTGTTTATTAGCATGAATTCTGCTCAACTTAGCCTGTTTAGTAGCGACCTTTTATCTTAAATACAAAATCAGTTTATTTATTTAATTTAATTTTAGACAATATTCACCGTTGGCTTCACCTTCAACATCCATTATTAATCCATTACAATTACCCGTCGTCAAATTACAAGACATTAAATATATTCCAAACATGCCACAACAACAACAACAACAGAAATCACCAGTTATGGGTCGACAGCAAAGTGATAATACTATCGATAACCGACGTAAGAAAGGTGATCAAGGACAAGCAAGTTCTGATCAAGGAGAGTTTGAAAAATCAACAAAATATGAAAACCAGAGATATTCCGGTTAGTACGTATACCATTTATTAGAACTAATTAGTTTGCTGATAAAATTCGATTTTTTGCTCCGAAAGAAAAGTGTTAAGGTTTGCCCAGGGAGAGATGATTTAAAGTTTTTAGACGTTTGTGAGTGATAAGTTAGATACTTTGTTAAAATTAATAATCTTTAACATGGTAATCATACCTGATTATTTTAGATGAGTTTCATGCACAAATAGAACTTGAACCGAAGACTCAAAATCCATTATCATTTGTGCAAAACTCTGATGCCATTTACCATAGTTTCGCTTCATCTCACATGTCATTTGCATCTAACAATATCATTGCTCCATCATCAATACAAAAGGCACCAATATTACAGCAAGTTGCAGCAAAACTTTCACCATCAAATGATTCGAGAATTAATACAAATATGAACGATAATCTTTTATCTAATTTGAATATCCATCAACTTCAACCACGACCGTTATTTCCAAACAATCAACACCAAATTTCACCCGTTCAGTGCCGTTATAACGTAGATCAGATGAAGGTAATTTAGTCGTTAGTAATGTACAACTGCTAAACAATTCTGCAGATTTTTGTATATATCCGTAAATGCTGTCTAGTTATCGCGACCCAACTTATTATGGGATATGTTACAGGTTTTGGGAAAACATATGCGCTTGTTGTCATCTTAGTATAACAATTCATTTGTTCAGCTAAGTGTCTTTGATAAATCACGATATAACCATTTCTTTTATTTCAGATAATATCAGCTCTTAACTCGTCCACATATCAAAGTCTCAATTTACAGCCTGTTACCAATCTTCAACAACCTCAACTAAATAATTCAACACTAGTCAAAACACCAATAAAAGCATTACATTCTCCAGCTTCACCATCGTGCTCATCGAGCATTGGAGTCAAACAATCGGATATTGATCAAACAATCGAAGATGTTATTAGTGGCAAAGTTTTTTGTTCATCTGTTGATGTTTTGTCCAGCCCATCCAAAGCAAAACGTGCAAAAGTTTTGTGCCAGTCTATGCCATCATCACCTGATAAACCAGCTATATTCTTTTCACCAATACAAGGAAATTCATCTGTGTGGCAGCAGCCACAACAATCATCATGTAATTCATCAACGCATCAGAATTTTACCAATTTGTCACATCAGGAATTTTCTAAACTCGCTGAGCAACTAATTTTACAGCCATCCCTTGAAAACACTGCCACCTATGAACATAAAAATAATAATACTTCACTCCATAAAACTATTGTTAACAACAATAAAATAAAGAAACAAAAACCATTGGCGAAAAAAGAAAAATTACGTAAAATTGAACCACTTGTTCAAATGTCTCCTCGTTCTCCATCACCACCATTTCAGACTACTACTACGACCACAACTACTAAAAATTTGTTAACTAATATTTTAACCAATCAGAGCGAAACAAGTCCTCAAGAAGAAGGTCAACAACAGCAAACAGTTGCGTAAGTATCAGCGTCTCGGGTTATAAATAGATAATCATATATTTCTTCGTGGTTGTTCTATATATCAAATGCTTGTTTTAGGTTACCTACTCTACCGACACTTAATATAATCGATGTATCGGTATCGGAACCTTTGTTACCTTGGCCGTCAACTATATCATCATCTGATTCTCAACAAAGCTCGAGTATCAGCATTTTACCCGATACTAATAAGATTGATGGTCGAACGACTTCTTCTTCGTCGCCAGCTGTTATATCAACAAGAACAAATCATCAGGAAGAAAAGAACAGTGATACATGGAATTTTGGTTCATTGTTTAGTACAACATTTCAATTAGTTGGGGATTATGCTGAAATTGATAATAATCAACAAGAACATCATCATCTTCGTAAAAATGATACAGGTATTTTAAAATCAATTCAAGATCAAGAAGAATCAAATCATCCATATTCTTGCACACGTCCACTACCGGCACCATCACTTTCATCTACCTCTTCATGTTCCACATCTGGATTAATATCCGTCTCAGACAGTTTTCAAAATAAAGAAAGTAAATCGAATATTAACGATGAGGATTTGTACGAACAGTTTCTTAATCCATCACTACCATGGCATGAAACGCCAATAAGAACAACAACAACATCAGAAAGCCTTATTATCCCTAATGATGGAAAAAATCAGCAATATTTAACGAAAATGAATACGCAAATTCATTCAGCACAATCTCAACTGATAGGTGATAGCACACGACAATTTCGTGATTTATTTTTGTCAGAGGTAACTATATAATACACTTTTCTCCTTTATATATAATAAGACGTCATATCTTCTATAAAAAGATACCGACACTCAAAATGTAAAAGTTACTAAAGCGAGTCGCTCAAATATCACAGTATCTACATTTTTGCACATCTAGTATCGAAAATGTAAGAATAGAGTTCGTTCCATGAACGAGAATAGTTTTGTGTTAACTAGAATGTTATTTAAATAAACATCAAAATAATAAGTTATTAAAGAGAGAATGTTTTCTTATCGTTCTCTAGACTCCTCAATTATCATCTCTTCCAGTGAACAACGACCATAAAGATGATGTTCTTAGTGAAGTGTTGAAAAATTCGTCGCCCATTTCTGATTGTTCTGAAAAACAAATACTATCACCTGCTGATAATCAAACGACAAATTTTACGACTGACGTAATAGGTGATGAGTTTGAATCACTCTTCTCCATCTCAAATTCTGCAATTACTACTCAAAGTCTATCGTTTTCTTCTTTACCAACATCTGTAAATAAAGCCACTATCAACGATATTGACGAGGAAGAGAATGAGTTTAACATGTTTTTTACAAATCAACCACAAAAGCAACGACCATCAGTCTCACAAAATTCTGACATAGAACTAAAACAATTATTATTACCACAAAAATCAAAAACAAAACCAGTGTCCATTGCTACATCCAGATCTACATCATCATCAATTGTTAATAAGAAAAAAATAACAACAACAACATCAAAATTATCGAGCAAAACTGTTTTACCAATCCCGTCAGCGTCACTATCTTCAATTTCCGTCTCTAATAAGCCTTTGTCAACATCATTAGTAACTTCAACATCTTCAATGTTGACTAATACATCAGCAACCAATTCCAGAGCGTAAGTTTACTGTCTTTTCTAAATCATTATCTGAATGTCAAGATTACCAAAAACAGAATACAAAACACATACAAAAAAAAATACTACTGATAACATCGAGTCGATTTCACAGCTTCAATTATTGTACAGAATAAAACTTTTGTGTGTTTCGATAGATTTAGTTCAGAATACTATAACAGAATATTCTTCCGTTTGTATTCTGACAGAATGAAGCTTATACTAATGTCAAGATGTCGCTATTCAATAATAGAGATACACAGTAACGTACAATTCTAAATTATTTCAATGTTTCAGACTTTTTAAGGTCATTTTCAAGACAAAAGATGGTACAAATGATTTTAGTTAGAAGAAAAAGAAAGAAAGAAGACAATTTACATTTGTCCTTCATATTAAGAGGAAGAAGTAAAAATCTTTTACTTTTCTTTCGACATGAAGGATAAAAATGTGCATTATATTCTTTCTTTTTATTGTAATTACAATCATTTGCACCATCTTTCGTCCTAAAAATGGCCTTAGAAAGTCTGAAACGTTGAAATAATTTAGAGTTATACGCTGCTGTGTATCTCTGTTATTAGTTAGTCACATTTTTAATCATGAACGAACAAAACTATTTCGATTATTCTAGACAACAAGATCAAACAAAAGAGGCAACTGTATCATGTCCAAAATGTTTATCAGATAAATGTGTTGATATAACAAAATTTGATTTTCCTGATTCAACAAATAAAAATTTTGGCGTGTGGGAATGTATGCGATGTGGAAATGAAATTTTTAAATCAAATTTAACAGCTGAAGCAAGAAAACGAAAAATTGATAAAATTGTGGCTGATATGGTGAGATTTAGATGATACTATTTTACTTTTATTGTTTATATTTTAAATATATTTCCGTTTTTTCTAGGGTGAATATGAATGCAAATTTTGTCATATTTTATACCACTCAAGTACTGAATATTGCGCTCATCTAAGAACGTATCATGAATCGTCCAGACCACTAAATACAACAACAACGACAACAAAAAGTTCATTTTCATCAAAATCAAAAATTTAGTTCAGTCATTATGTTGTGATACATTTGCTCAATCAGTTACTTTTTTCCTCAACCGAAAACGCTTAATGCTATCATTGTGGTACCGTTTTTGTTCTATTACTTTCTCTTTGTTTAGATTAGTTTTATTTCAAAAATTAATTGATTTTTTTGTTGTTATGATAAACTGACAAAATAGTCCGGATACATTAAATAGATGCTACATTTTCGAAGTAACAAAACATATATTAAGAAGAATTGTGTAAAAAGTATTGTGTTGTTTGTTTTTTATTAGATGCTCTATGACACTAATGTCTCGAATGTCTTTATCTTTTTTTTATTTAACAGTGTATTATATATAATAGTCGTAACAATGACTCTTTTTTTTTCTTCTCTCGTCATTTATGCTCAGGTTTCATCGTTCGTTAAAATTATCGTAGTACCATACAACTAGGCATGCAACAATTTCAAGCTAGAGCTCGATGATCGACAGTGAACAGTTCGGTAACTGAATTATCGGATTGGTGTATACCTATACATAACATTTCTTCGTTCAAGCTATAAAATCATCATTTCACTTTGTTTTTAACGACAGATATCTCAGACGGTTCAATTATACATAAAGAGGATGAATAAATAATGTATTATAAACTACTTACTTCCATAGCTATGCATAGAATCTTTTTCCTATTTTAATATAAATATCTTAGACATATTTGGTTTATTTTCAATACATCTAATTGTTCCATAGAATATTACTGTGTTTGATTTCGTTTGTGATGTGTGTTTGCTGTTTTATTCACAAACACAATATTCAAAGAAGAATATGATTATTATGGATAAAATCATAACGATTCGTTTATGATCTTCATCTATTCATTTCTAGAACTTTTAACTTTTACATCACTGTTGTAGATTCATCTATACTACTAAACTTCATCCTATTTGGCTTAGTTTTGTCAGTTCACTCTTCTATTCTATATGATGGATTTGTGCTCTTTATTTTTGTTTTCTTCTGATCTATCTTATCCACTAATTTTTTTATAATATCAGAACAGCTTTGGATCTGTTTTGGAAATATGCGCGCTGACGACAAACTTTTCGTTATTAATGTTTTTGTTGTTTTGTGCAAATTAACTTTTATTTTTGTTGTTGTTGTTGTTGTTATTCTTTCACCTTTTATAATAAATGAATAATGAGCGGTAGCGTTTCATTAATATTCTCAATTTAAAAAAAATGATTAAAGTAAAATAAAATCCGTAGTTTTTGTGTCCAATTTATTCGTCATTACTGAACATACTGAAAGAAAGATAGATAAAGAGGCGATTGAATATTTCTTTTTGACCACAATTATAATTCAAAAAGTTTGTCCTGAATTACTATTCTTTTCAAATCAAGAGATCGATGATCATTTTTAAATAACTTTCATCTATAAGAGATAGACGCTTGCGATTTCCTTGCTCCATATAGTCAAGAGTTCAGAGAGTCTTTTTGTAATATAAATCGGTTTAAAAATCTTTTTTCCATAGATGACTTTTTATGAGATCTTTGCAAGAGCAGTTTGAATTTCAAAATTTGAAGTACGAATATATTGGTTTTTTATGGTGTGTTCTCGAAAAAACGACCAGATTCTTTATTTATCATGGTAAATACTTCAAAACGTACTTTATTTTAGCAACTTTATGCACTGATAACATGGAAGTATGATAAATTCGAAGACAAGGTAACTGAAGTAGAGTATCGTAAAGTACATAACTGAAGTAGTATATTCTGAAGTATTTTCATATGACTTTGAGTGAGTCATGAATTTTTTAGTCACATACACCAGATGGGAGAATGAAATACAAACAAAAACATTGACAGGGAGGGAGAGGGGGCGGAGAATATCCGCACACACACGAGATATACAGATGTTTTTAAATAAAGAGAGAATCTAGATAGAAATCAAACAGACAACAAGAGATAAAAGATAGAAATAAATAGATACACTAGCCTACTTCAAATCTTTTTGTTATACAAATAAAATTAATTACTGCATAATAACAGATATATATACTTTTGAAAAATGCACATTTAATAAAATTAGGTCAAGACTTACGGTAAAGGCTGATTCTGTTTCATCTTTTCCACACATACAAAACCGGTAGTTGTTGTTCTCGAAGCGAACATGATATTCTTAAATGTTGCTCGCTTACGTAAATTATGCGATATTCTATCTCTGCATGTGTATTTAAACTTCATCATTCTCAGAAATGTGTTACATTTAGAAACAACAAAGTTATATGACGTTTTCAGAATAATTATGAACTAAAATACACACCGAGATGCTACAATTCTTCAACATGCATCAAAATATGAGACTTATATAACAAATTTTAATGGTAAAAACCGATGTAGAGATCACTGATAGACTGAAGCAAGACTATTGTTCAAGATAATGTCGACCTTATTCTGATTAGTGTCACTGTAATAAAGCAATATGTATCATCAGCGAAAAGATGAGCCTTTGAAGTCAGATTAAGTCCAAAATCATCAATGTGAGAAATAGAAGAGGGCCCAATATACTTCCAGTAAAATACTATAATTGACCCGAAGTGGATTTAATCATTCACTACTGTTATGCTTTGATGAGTAAGTAAATAACCTCCAAACTACCTCATGATTTTGGATAGACTTCTTTTTCAACTTACAACTAACAAGTGCTTATTTTGTGAAAATTTATTTTATTTAAATAATAAAATTTTCATTTGAAAACAATTTATAATTTAATAATAGACATTTTTCTCATTCATGTCATTTCTTCCAAACATTAAATAGTAACTGTTTTAACTGAGTAACTACATCATAATACGAAAAGACTCAACTTTAAGAATAGTATTCTAAGCAAGCATCATAGTTCTGTTCGTGTAAAGACGAATTAAAAAGCTAGCTGCCAACTGTGCACTGCGAAGATTGGAAGTCGGCTGAGTGAAACATTTCTGCAATCGATTAACTTCTAGCTGTGACATAAGCTACGTAGATGATTAATTTAAACCGGAAATATCTCAGTGGAAAGCAACAAGCCGACTTTCACTTATTACATTCAGTCGTATGGAAAGATGCGTCATAGATTACAAAATTCATTGTTCATTCTTGTTTAGTCTGGCACTAGCATCAGACTTATTTTCGCTTACTTTACAGTTCATTTTCGTGCTATGAATTATGATTAATGGAAGAAAAAAAAAGATTTTGCAAATATAGGTAAATTAAAATTAATCCTGCAGAAAAAATTTTTGGGATCAGTTCTATACGAAAAATAACAAAACTAGCATTTCTCACAATCTTCTTTAAATTTTTATGAAAACAGGATTAATTCTGTATTTTTTCCGAGGATCATTTAAATTCTACAATAACAAATTCTTTCTAGACTATAAGTGTGAAATACAATAAACGTTCTTTGATAAAGCAATAAATTTAAAATACAATTACGATTGATGAGAATATGTAGAGTCAGTGTCTCCGATTAGGATCTTAAAAGATTTTTGCAGACTAAAAACCAAACACTTGTTGTCCTCAAACTGCCTGTCAAAATTCCATTCTCCATCCTAATGTTTTAAATCGATTATTGATTTGGTATTATTGCTGTCAGTTATCGCTGGTACTTAATCATTTTGTAGTAAAAATAACGGCAGTTTATGTCTCACAAGGGAATTCTTTTAGATATCAACCTCCCATTTCAAGGATCTTTTGTCCATAGATCCTATATAGTGGTCGAGCAAAACTCCTAAAGGATTTGGGCTCCTATTGCTTCATTCAAAAGTTATAAATTTTTCTACTTTGCTGATACAGTTCATTACATAAAACATTGAAAAATTCATAACTCAGTGAAAACACGGTATAAAGGACCGAATTTTTCCTGTCGCAGTCCTATATGTCTATTTAGAATTTTCAGTCCTTCATACCGTGTTTTCACTGAGTTATGATTTTTTCAATGTTTTATGTAATGAACTGTATCAGCAAAATAGAAAAATTCATAACTTTTGAATGAAGCTGTAGGAGCCCAAATCCTTTAGGATTTCTGATAGACCACTATATAGGATCTATGGACAAAAGATGCTTGAAATGGAAGGTTGATATCTGAAAACATTCCTTCGTTAGTGCACTTTACCTTTTAATTTTATAATATGCAATTGGACTTCATCAGTGGCGTATTTAGGGAAAAATTTTGATTCCAGGTATGCATCAATCCGATACTTCGGTTCCCGAACGTGTCGCACTGTAAAAAATAAAGTGTACCCGTAGATGTGTAAAAGTTCTAAGTGTGCAAATGCGAATCAAACTGGTGTGTTTTTTCCTAGGTGTGTAAAAGTCTCTCTATATTCGCAGGTGTGTAAATTTTGCCAGTGTGTTTCTGGCACATCACATCGTGCATTCTAGATGTGCAAATGCGAATCAAAGTGATGTGCACGTTAAGTGTGTTTTGGGCACACTATTTTTTACAGTGCGCTTATACAAAACTGTTCGGTCTGAAAACTTGATGCGACCGAACGTGTTCGGACGACAATTGCAAATAGGATAGTTTATATTTTTTTCATCAGAAATACCGGGGACGCTCTGTTGAGGAACTATTAAGACAAAGTAGTATAAATCTTAAAAAGATACATTCAAATTAGGGCTGCAACTTTCTATCTACTCTATTTGTACAGTGAGATGATACATTTTTGGATGAAAATAAAGCAAAGTAATCTGCCACAGAGGCCACATCAGGAAAGTATGCTTGGGATTATTGCATATCTAATCTTGCCCATAGAAACTCATCAATCTCACATGCGAAGTTTTATGGACTGTGTTTTTTTTAAATTTCGTCAGCACCCAAAAAATTTTCTAAATCTACCATTGGTCTTCACCTTTTCACTTGTTTAGAATACACTCAACAAAATGTTGAGATATCATTGACTTTCTCTGACCAGTTGAAGTATAATACAAATATTAAAATATTGATATTTTGATAAATTCTTATACCACATTTTGAAAACGTCTCAAAG